TTGAGCGACTTGGTAATTTGGTCGTGAGATTGAAGACCTCCAGAAATTGTGCTACCAGTTAAGTCAGTGTCTCTACTTCACAGCTCTTGTTATTTTTTGTATGATTCGTAACCAGTACGATTGACATTTCTTGTTTTATTATGCGTTATCAAGTGGGAACTGTCGCTCTCAAGTGCACCTTTGCAAGGCAATGAGGCTGAACATGGTCGTCTGTGATGCGTATTCTAGTATCCTTTACGACATGAAATCAACGACGGTTCAGGGGCTCGTGTAGTACCCTGTGATTTCACCGAATGGAAAGGAATATGGGAAGCCTAGTACTGCAGGCCGGCAGGCCGATAAGTAACTTTTGTTGGTACAGCTTCAAATAACTGCCGTCAAGTGGCTAATTTAAAGCAGTTAACCTAAGTTAGATTTGTTATGGGTGTAGGCGCAACACTCTGCTCATAGGGTTGCTGAAAATTCTTTGGCAGTCCACACCGGTTCCGCTCTTCTCGAAGATCATCAGGTAGGCGTAGTCCCCGAGTTACCGTCAACTTTATTTTTGGTACAGAGACTTAGGCCTATGGACTTATACCACGTTGATCAGTGCAGTGAGCATTTACTGCGATCATTTACATGTCTACTGCAACATCCATATACCCACCGATGTTGCTAACTGCTGGATCACGTGTCAAGGCACCAAAATCACCACGCATCTTACTTTGAGGCAGTAAATCTACCGGTGTATTCCATGAACGTAGTCCAGGGGTAGTGATTTGGGTGACTGAGCGCAAGAGAATTGTGATATAGTGCTTGCAGCGGGGAAGATTTTGTGGAGCCCTACAGGTACCCGCAGGCCGGAGATAACGCCTTAACTAATGGCGGCAGGGCACTTAATAGCACTTGAGTAAAGATATATATATATATATAATATATACATATATTATATATATATATATATATATATATATATATATGAGATGATGGTCATTGCAAGCAGTTTAGTGATATGGTGGCTGTCGAAACAGATCCGCAAATGCACAGCAACGTCAAGAGCATCCTCTCTTTGGAAGACAACGGAACGGCCTAGTTTTCCGCTCGGAAGAATCCCCATACCGTGTCAACCAATATGAAAGTTACGATAGCCATTTCTAGGACAGATTACGAGGAAAAATAACTGGTAGTGCGAGATTTTGGAAGTTTAATGGGTATTTCGTAATATAGGTGAAGCCAATCAATGCTGCAAAGCCGTGAAGCACTGCACAGCTGTACACACGAAACAGTTGTACGATGAGATCAACTCAGTTCGACACATCAAACTACAAACACATTTCAGCTGGAGCATACGAAATCTGAATAGACAAGAGGTGGGGGATATGGGAACGTGTAGACCGGTTTTCTGCTCGGCTGAGTTACTTCAAAATTTCCGGACGTTATCTAAAACGGGTTGTTTTGACAACCACAACGCACGGGTAACTCATCACAAACGGGATGAACTCCTCCATAATTTGTAAAGGTTGAACATGCTAATTATTTACAATCCAGAACATGAATCTGCGGAATTCCAATGGTTGTGTTTTCAGTGTTTACTTTTGTTAGCGTCCATCTGTGCTCAGACGCCCCTTTATAAAACTGGGTTTGTGTGCAACTCTTTTCGATTAGGCTTGGATTAATTGTTGACAATGGGATTGCACGTTATAGGCTTAGGTTACCCTCGACCTATGAAGTGACCGGCAGGTAGATGTAAAACTTCGTTTAGAAGCAAACATGATTACTAGGTTATTTTCCCCGTGCTTAAGTTGATTCAACTGGATTTTGCGAAAGCATGTGGTCAGTCAAGAACCAGAATCAGATCCAAATGTGTTATTTTTTCTTTTGGTGCCATTGGGGAACGTTCCATTTCATGCTCGTTCGCGTGGGGTCTTTGGAAGAATGGTGTTTCAATGCAAAGTATCAAATGAAAAATGAAATAAGTCGTCTTATAGAACTCAAAATGGTGTGATGGAAAATTTTTGGATGGGGCCAAGTTGGCTCAAACTACTACCCAAACACCGTCTATGGCTAATATTCGCACATCTGTGTACCCAAATTAAACCTTGGGGGAGATTCGCTTTTTCACCGGCTTTAAGATGTGACTGAATTTAATCCGCTAACAGTTTGGGTTCCGAGACTACCGAGCAGCCTGTTCAAACGGACAGCTGGTCATTTTAGCAAGGTACTTTTATGGGCTAGCTAGGCATCACTCTCGTAATGCCTGTTTTGAAGACAACTGGGAGTGCATTTGTACGCGCGTTCGTTTACAGGATGCGCTTATCTACTCACTTAATCTACACAGTTGTGCGTGTTGGGTGCACGATCAAGTTCATCCAAATTACGTGGTTGTGAAATCTGTCCTGTGACAAAGTTCGATTCACAACCCGAAAATTCATCCTACTGTTTGATGGACAACTGTCAACCTGGACGCTGAAACTGTATGAATGTCACCAATCATTCTCCACTTCACCAAAAACAGAAAAAATACAACTGAGGACGTGCAGTTCACGGACGACAGATTGAGAGTCTATCACACAAGTATACACACACACACACACACGAAGCAGTGACTTCACCTGCCCCGAGGCAACTATATTATGGAAATCTCGATCGAGTGCTGAGAGTTCTAAAATACCCAGCAAAATATCGCAGGAAAATTAAAACAGAGAAAGTTATCAATAGTATCGTAGACGTAGAGCTTTGCAGCAGGATTATTATGACAAAACCAAACCAGGTGGTTAAACAACGCGTACAGTACCACCATAGCTTTGTACCAACCTCTCTCCCTCTCACACTATTGTGTGGAAAGTATTCGTAAATAAAAGTTTAGTTCGAGAGAGAACGAAGTCATATGGAAGAAGAGGCTTAGAAAAATTAGGAAAGAAGCCCAAGAGTGACTGGCAAGAGAGCATTGCAATGAGTGGAGAGAAAGAAAATCCAGTCCCAAGTGAACTTCCCTTCAGTCAAGTCCCAAAAGATTCAACTAGATGACAGAACATGTGAACAGCAATCAGTTTGATTGAACTTGGAGGTCGGCGGCTGTGCGAGCCAACAGGGTGGAAAAGATTCCGACGCTAAGACTAACAAATACGAGGGACCCAGTAAATTCACAAGTATGCCAAAGCCAAGGAAGTTACGTTGCTCTCAGCAACGTTACTAAAAAAACTTTCCACTCAGAATAACTGGTGTGTTGAAGTTTCACCGAATGTTGGACGGTCTACTATAAACGTCAGTACAACCGAGATCGACAGCCATGTGTTCCTAGTGGCGAAGCCAAAATCGGTAGGGATTTTATGAATCGGATAGGATTAGCCCACATCGGACCTCATAGGAAAAAGTGAACAGTCACGAGAAGTTTGGTAAAGAATTTTCACTGCTGAGCACATCGCTAAGCATGCAGTTCATGGGAATATGCTCTGCACTACAACTATGTCTAGCAACCCAGACTGGCACATGAAAGCGTGGTAGCTGTCCGCATAGGAGTATGCCACGTACCACATCTTTCTATACCAGACGGATAAGTCCCACTAAAAGTGAAACACAAAGAAGATTGAATTTTTGGGATTGCTCACTTCTTGTTTTTCCAAAAAGTATATCAGTCAGGCTGAGGAGCTCGCCACAACCGCAAATATGATCGTGAGAAGTTGGAAATAATCAGTTGACCACGTACACGTACAGTGTTCCTTCCCTAAAAGAAACTTCTAAGCAGACAAGTTCTTGAAAATGAAACAGCTTTAGGCCTCCAGAATGTTTTAACGATGAGAAGCGTCCTATAAAGCAGTAACCAGAAAGAGGACTTTCCGGCCCGTCCGTGTCTAGGACAGTCATCGAGCACAATGGTGCAATTTCGTCGACTGAAATCTCCTCGTACTTCAACGAAAAACGCAGTCTAGTGCACATTTGCACAGTTCCTTAGTTGCGGATCCTATTTTTTGTTCCGTAGAACAGTTGGAATCGAGTTACCGCCGATGATAGCTTCGTTGTCCTGCACATGACTGAGGAACGACAGGTGGACGGCGACTACCTCGTGAACGAATGTTGCCAGTAAGTGTTTATTGGAAGAATTGTGGACTTCGCTGAAGCAGACCTGGACGAAGTGTGGGCCTCATGCTTCACCTCATGTAGTGAAAAAAACTCAGTAACTTAGTTCAGGAATCTGTACAAGTACATTTTACGGGAAAATCTTTCATTTAAACAGGAACAGTAATGAAAATAGTGAAATAATCTGGCTTCCACTAGTTTGGAACAGTCGCAAAAGTAATGAGTGCTCCACTTGGAAAATTACGGCATTGAAACCCTGTGAAAGACTAATTTTCAGCTCGTTGGAAAGTCCGGTTCAACGCAAATTAATGTGCGGATGCAGAACAGATACTGCAAAACGGGTTTCTATTACTCTCTTTTTTCCACGGAATATGCGATTTCATATGAACAGTTTTTCACAAGGAAAGAGCACTGTGGTTGCGGCAAATTTTTCGGGGTCTCAAGGAATCGATGGAAGGCGCATCGTGATCGTCCTCATGCATACAGTACAAAAAGTGCACATGATCGCTACAGCGTAACCCCCTGTTGATGACATTCTCGTTGGCCGTCAGTAAGACATTGGAAGTGGGTGGTGCATTGTCCCGTAATATGGTCACATTTTTGTTTCTGTCAGTCAACTCACGTTCGTTTGTTCTACAGAAAACTTATCAGTGCGCAGCCTATTGGCGTTTCGGTGGCCGTATTACAACAATGCATCTAGTGTCATTGATGGCGTTGTTGACTTTCACCAGCGGATACATCCAACCACCCACTTTGTGACCCCGGACAAAGGACTCAGCTGGGAAATTTAAAAAAAACTAGAGGTGCATACCCTTTTTCTACTTTGCCAATTGGTAGGACAGACCGATTCTGAGATAATCGCCTGCCGGAACAAGTGGCGTGAGTAGCACCAATCTCAAACTGAAAGCCACTGGCATAGATAAGCGAGGTGTTAGTTCATCCTGACCATCTTAAGTCAAAAAAGACAATTGACCAAGTAAATCGCCGCAATACAAGAAACAAACTATCGTGGTACTGTGTGTAGTAAATGCCTTTTTCACGGGTCCACGCGAATCGGCTAGTATGCCGGCACTGTACAAACCAGATCGACGTGCTCAACGCAACCGATTCACTGAAAAGCCTTAGATAATGCAACTACAAGATAAACGCCAGTCGCTCGGAGAACACGAGGGCACACACAGGGAAGTCTCTATCATTCGTTTAACTGAAAGCGGAATTGCATTCTATAGGAACGAAAAGTGGGGTTATGAACATAGATTGGTTAGATACGGCAATGTCGAATCAAAAGGGTCAACAGATTTCTATTCATTCGCAACCAATTCCACACAGTGCTAGAAATAAGTGGAATCGACGCATCAGCAGAAGCTAAACGGGATATTATGGAGAAAGAATTCGTCACTTTCATCAAGATTGACGAGCATGATTAACACTTGGATCCAGTGACAAGCCAACCAAGCTGGAGAAGTGATTTTCCAGCATTCTAAGGGTCTGAATGCGACCACAACCATGCTGAAAGGGGTTTACTAAATCGAACGAACAACCGCTATTATCACATTTTGCAAAGGTCGGAGCAAATCAAACAGTCATGTATCGGAACGCTTTGATTAAAGAATGGAACTAGTTACGTGAAAGCAATTTGTATGGAACTAATCGATAGAGACGACAGGAGGCTTAGTCAAAATTAGGCCCCGTCATATCTGAATCCTGGAATTCCCTCCGAAAAAAGAGAGGCTCCATACAGAGTGAATTGTATTTGTCTGAATGAAATAGCAGAAATACTCAAGTTTTATAACCGTATGGTTTCCCTTCCAATCTACCGAATGATGAGAACGGGACAAGCACAGCTGAGCGGAAACAAAAAGCGACCGCTGTACTACTTTCACTTGACGAGTAATTTGATTGTAGGTGGAAAAACGTGAGCATCACATCCGATCGTTGGGAGGAACAGTGGACCGGGCTTCTATCGTCCACGAACAACTCGATTCAGAAAACATTTAGAAAGGATACCTACTTATTTTTGTATGTCATAAACATTAGCTGACACAGGATGCGCTGAATCAGGAGTTGAAGGTTTTGCTTGAGCGACGAACGTCAGCAAGCGGCGACACTCAAATTCCAGTCAAGCAACTAAAGTTATGACAATGAAAGAGCAGTACTTAACCAGGTCAGGCAACGTGAATAATATATCACGAATACTGCGTCAGTATCGCCTTCTTTGTTACAACTTCGGGATAGTTTCACAAAAAATGTAACCTTTTAGCGTTTAAAAATAATTTAGCATATTATCTTGGAGGAAACCACTCGTGCGGTTGCTTCGTGGGGTGATTTCACTTAAGAGATTCCAGTAACACACTGTTCACTTGTGAGTTAAATATGTCCACTGGACGTCCGTTTGAAACTTTGGTATCGTCCTTGGCCGTAAAGTACACATTCTAACTGAAAAATTACCTTTCACCCGTAGCTATTACAGGAAGATACTGATAAGCCCATGAAAATACCTTCGCTGCTCTCACAAACAGGGTTCGCGTTGCCCAGAAGCAAGAGTAGTACACAAATCGTTTACTCTACGGGGCTGTTGTGGGAGATGCCAGCTGGACTTATGGTGTTCTCATGCATGAGTCGTATGATATGAGGAAACATCAACTGGTTGAGTGTCTCAGTCACTTAGCTGCCACATTCACATACACGTTAGTGACTTGCGGTCAGTAACGAGCACACATGCGAAGTTGCGGTTCCCGAGGGATTATGGATATCGACAGCCCCTGTTGATATATAGCCACGACACTGTTGCCTAGGTATCTATTTCTCTACAAGCTAGTTATTTTTCGAAGATGTCTGAGGCTTGGGCTTTCGAGCCTCCGAGAAGACACTATCCACATTTTCTAAGTTAGTAGAAAATTACGGTACCGAATATCGGTGGTTTTTTAAACAACGGTAGATACCTTATTTCCCGCGCTTTACAATTCTGAGCTTTCAAACAGTTAGGTCAAACAGATAGGTCCGATGTAACCAAAATCCACTCTCCTGACAGCACCGCTGGTGCGGCGTAAATACAACGATGGTGACAGGAAAAAGCGTGCGAGATCCGGACGCCAATTATAGGAAAGTTCAGAATAACCGTTGGGTCAATATCGACATCGATGTCAGCAAATTCAAAAAGATGGCCGAAAAGGATCTAGTAAATTGCAAGTGAGATAGGGTTATACTATAAAAATACTCACTCTTGCTGGTAAGTTCAGGTCGCATCACCTCGGTCGTACGCCTTAGAAGAAACGTGCTCAGAAGGCTAGAAAGCTTTGGATGCGGACTATTCTCTTCATCCCAACCAGCTCCTGGGTCCTCAGAGGCCTTTCGACGATGAATAAACTCCCGACGGAAGGCTTCCTGACTCTCTGCTAGCCTACCTGGGGCACAGAATTCCGCTAACGACCATAACTCTTCTAAGTTGTTTTGGACTGGTGTCCCAGTGATGATCATACGGCGCCGACAGGGTAACTGTCGCAGAACCTGAGAGGAGACGAATGAGATAAATTTATTTCGTATCCTTTGAAACCAGCGTAGAAGGACTAAAACCATACTTAGAAAACCCTTTAAATAAAAGAAGACCGATTCAGCAACGAACAGAAAAAATGGATACTACTTCACAACTGAATGGGTTGTCATTTATCCATACGAAAGTTCTCAGCATTTACCTCATTATGTTAAGTTAAGCCACTGCAATCGGAATTATTCCTCGAGTAAAAGTGAAAAATCGGTCTAATCTCAGATGCTGAAGGTTATGCTCGCCTGTCAAAACCAGGTGAACAGCCCCATGTCTGGTTTAACTGACGAACAGATTACCGTCACCTTTCAACATCTGTAACATTTGGTCTATCATACGATGCTTTACACACACAGGTAGTTCAGAAACATGGGTACAAAGAGCGGTGTCCTAATGGCAACGTTTCATCCAAATGGGGAGCAACATTTCTAGCCGAATAAGCTGGTCGTTCCAATCGGCGTAAGACAACGAAAAACGATGAACAACCAAATAACAAAAGCAGTTTAAAGAAGACACATAAGATAGCGAAGTAATGAGTGTAAATGGCTTTGAAAAAAGAACAGGGAAACCTACAGAAACCCCAGCAGTGTAGACTCAGAGGCAAGTGACTAAAATCGCGTTCCAATACCAGCCAGGAAGAACGGGATCTTACCAAAGAAGTGTGAATGCCAGAATTTTTGAGCCTGTGTCCCTCATCACAGACAACCATATCGAGATTCGGAATGGACTGGACTTCACATGAGTGTTGCAGAAGCATTTCATAGGACATGATGATGACCGACGGAGGGTGTTGTTGTGCCAGATAATTCTGAAAAGAAGGGTTCATAGATAGGTGAGCCGAACGTGAAACGGACAACCTCCATTGACACTGTATTAAGTGAAGCAGTTCGTGAGGAACAGAGGTCTGTTCGTAAAAAAAACACGATTATTAGCCCATGCGGATAGCCCCTCTGTTCAAGCTCGGTCAATCTAAATAGTCCACACCAACATTAAGCGAGCATCAACAATGCAGGTCTTGGGTCTGGACTGTCATAGGGCCTGAAAGTCGGACCTGAAATGCGAGACAGACGCCCATAGACGTAGATTCGGGTGTCAGAATCGTTTGGCATGCTCCTGTATCCTTGTCCTGTGAATGTCAGAGTGTCCTCTTTTCCCAGAGATAGAGCTTGGACTCGGACAGGACGGAAAGGCTTGTCGTTGTCTCATTATGAGAAAATTAACCCCCCACCTCCCGACTAGATATCGAACAGTGAAAATGCTAAAGCAAACAAGGTTTGTTGTTCGAAAACCTTGGTATTAGGTCGATGCAAAAGAAAAGCAAGGCGAGAAAGTAGCGTGCCAATGGATAGGTAATTGCAGCTACGAACAATGTAAGATAAACGACAATTTCGGTGAGTGGTACAAACAAAAACCACTAACGATTGTTTGACTCAACCGATCAGTCGGCCTGTGATAACCTCCCCCGGACCCCACCTATGAAGTAGCTGCAGTCATCAATCAGGGACAGCAACATCAGTGTTGACGCCGATGCCACATTAAAAAAATAAATCGTTCAACGGTAACACCCTTTCGGTGCCTAGCTGCAATGCCACACGAAGGAAGCACGAGGGCTGGGATACTGCCAGGTTGCCCAAGCCTAGACACGGAAAGTCGAGAGGCAGAGGTCGGGTTCGAACAACGGACCTTCCGGTCAGTAAATTCGCGCTCTAACCACTTGGACCTGGTGTTAGCTTACCGCAAGAATTCTGAGGTGCCTACATCCCAAAGCGATCAGTCAGACAATCTGGAATTAAATTGACAACAAGAATGTCACTGATACCGACCGGTCGCCGTTTCGTGCGATGTTTCCAGTCAAGTGCACGAGGGGTCGCGAAGACCCGTCCTCGAAGGCGTACAACACCAACAACAAACAAACTTTTCACAATCTCTTTCACACCCTCTTAACAAGTCAAACGTTGTCCACCTCGCGGTTTGCGCCATTCGGAGTGATACGGAGAACAACGATCGTATCGGTGGGCGGTGTTTCAGCATGCGTAGAACATAGCCGAGCGATCGTAGTCGAAGTTGCCCGATGTTTCCGCGGGTGAAGTACCTCTGCACAGCAAAATATCCGTTCTCTAATCACCTTGTTGCTAACCGTTGACGCCATCCACGAACAACGCTCCTGAGGCATCGCTGGTCAAAAGCCTGAAGACGCTCACATCACCTGTATGCAGAGGCCACGCCTCGCAGCCATACAACACATCCCTTACTGTAGCCCGGTACATGCGACCCTTGAGACCCAGTGGTATGCCGTCTTGACGCCACAAGACCCAAATTAGAGAATGTGATGCTGGTCCTTGAGATTAGTGCATTGACTTCATCAGACACACTGCTATCAGAGCTGATAGACATACCGAGGTACGTGGAATTCTCAACGACTTCCAGTGATTCTCTTTGAACTGTAAGCGGTGTGCTAAGAGACTGCAGGTCCTGAAGCTGAAATTCGCACTTTGAACTAGAAAGGCGCATGTTAGGAAATGGTATAATGGTGAGCAGTTCACTCAGCTGGGTTTGTGCTTCGCCATCGTCTTCCAAAATGGGGACGATATCATCTGCATACTTTAGACCCACAAGGTTCTCACCACCTGCGGTGATTCGTTTAAACCAAGCCATCATAAGCAATTCCTTTGATGGTCCCAAATCTGAGCCCACAACAAACCATATCATCAACGGTATTAATTTCCGTCCCCTCGTTCGATCAGCCACTCCACTGAGTTCTGATTCCAGCTTTTGTGTTAATGAGTACCGCTCCCATTTTGCCTATTTTCAAGTCAAAGCTGGTCAGCCTGGGGAAGAAGCCTGATTTGATTGTAAGTTGTCGGGTAACCATGATCTTCAATTATTCATACCAAGTGTGCTGTGCACACCGCATGCAGTGCAATTCTGTAAGCTGTTTATAGAATTTGCAAGCCCATGTTGAGTAGTGGTACGATGATGTAGGATTTCGAGGAGCAGCTGAGGTCGTTTCAATCCTATTGTTTGACGGAATTATAGATTGCTTTAGGTTACAAGTGCCTCATCTAACTATACTGCACAATCGCAAAACCCCGTCGCCTAACCGCATTCATTCGAATCCGAAGCAGACGACTGCATGTGCGGGTTTGTATTGACACAACCCTAACAGGACGCGTGATAATGATGAGGTAGACGAATGTAGAAGTCCGAATATTGACTGTATCATTGTCAAGGCCAGTTTTAACATCTGAGACGAGACAACTATGTGCCAGATGAATCACCACTTTTCAATACTGATGTACACAGAAACGGTAGAGGTGGCACGTAGAGGTGGTACACGTTTCTTCATCCAAACATATGAACATGTAGTTTTGGATAGTCGATACAGGCGTCAAGATGACCTAATCTCCATCGTACACAGGCAGCTCTATATAGTGTACACGTAGTTTGTGCTCGGGTTGAAAAAACATGGGTAAACCACCAAAAAAGTGAAGTGAGCTTGTGGAAACATTCTAGTGACCATTTTTACGCTCAGTCTTGCACCTGCAGGAACACCTGCGTTATCGTTTGTCTAAAACGGTTTTCGTACGCGGGTCATCCATGCGTTTCAAGGCAAAGAAAATCAAATAATTAAAGTCAGTGTTTATCAAGATGGCCTTTATACAGGAGAAGGGAATAACAGAAGAGTATGACGACAACTTAAAGTCATTCATGGAGGGTTTAACGCTTAAGTGACCTGTATGTACACCGCAGATTCAATGTCACTGTGGGACTCGAAAAAGAGGAGCGGGTCTTTCCACAGGACCAAAGGGCCTGTTCGTTTGCACCCCGAACAGACTGCAACCCAAATTTACGACTGGTAGCAAGGATCGGGGTGAAATCAATTAAGCTACTACTTGGACTACGACTTAAAACGTTGTGGAACACACAATCTGGAATCGTTAGAGCTGATGGAGACAGAAGCCAACTACATCTCAGGATCATCCTAAATGCCCATAAAAGGGTAATTGACTAAGTATTCTCCACGAATAAGCTGGCTTGCAATAATTAGATATCCAAAAGTGGACGGAGATCGAACTGAACACTATTAGTGGAAAACGGTGGAAGAGAAAATCGCAGTTTGCAAAAATGCGCGTTTAAAAGATGGAATACCTTGATTGTGGCCGTCTGTCCAACACAGTAAAATGGGAGACGTTCGCGGCCAAGCCACTTAGAGAATTCTTTGGCCCAGTTCTGAGGATAGAAATAATACACCGGTTGATTTGTTGGCTTGTAAACTGACACTTACAAAAAAGATATTTATGGCGATAGAGAACAGTGGCAAATTGGGTATAACTGGAGAGGTAGGGCAGGAATGTGATGTGAAGCTAAGGTGTTTCCATGGGTGTCCCGACTGAGGCCTATGGCCGAAACGACCAAAATCATGTGGACAAATTTCGGCTTCTATGGCAATACATCGAGTCAATGTACGCATATCGCCGGCACAATTTGGAAAAAAAGCACAATTAAACTAAAAGCGAGGTGAAATTGCAGTCATTCCAATCACAACTGCCGATGTACCTGTAAACGTCTCGTGGTTAGCACAGTTAATTACGTAGAGACTGCGTACTTTACCCGCAAGCGCAAGCATGGAGCGGCTACGATGCCACAAACGTAGTTAGAAGAAAGGGTGCGATTCTCCATGCCTTGTTGCGCACACAAAAGAACGGAAAGAAGGCCACCAATGTGGCTTTCGAATACAAACCTACGTACAGTTCAGAAGAACTTTGGTGTCCCATATATTATCACAGATAGTAAAGTGAAAAGTTACTGGCTCACCTGGATAAGTGTACTTGGAGTGACAATGAGACAACGACGAACGACTGGACGTCCGCCATATGGTCCTTGTTTCAACAGTAGCCACAACAGTGCGATGGTTTGGACAGTCTTACCGAGGCCCATTTCATCCCTGAAACAGAAGTTGGGACGGCTAGTGAGGAAAAATCGAAGGCATCCATGCGTCCTGGTGTTTTGTTCTCGCTTCAATTCTACATCCCATAATACTGTGATAACTAAGACTGTTTTGCCAATATGTTCAAAGATTAAAAAAATTTCCAGAAAAAGGCATCATTTGGTAGTTTACAAGAAAACGATAAAACCACGATTCTAAGTACAGGAGCATCTACAGTGTGTATCTGGCTGAAAGCTCACCCATTTTCGTCCAATCGTCATCATGATGGATGGCTCATACACCGACCAAAACAACACTCATCCACTTTGGAACGTCTATGGAAAGTTCGTATGCTTTCTTTGCTTCTCATTTGAAAATTATTGGGAGCCTACGGTTCCAAACCAACCGCGGACGTCGTCATGACAGATAATTTACACTATCGACACGTAGGAACCTTAAGTGGTCAGCACTCTGGGTCACATGGCTGGCCCACCGGTCTTCAGGCATCAAGAATAGATTGGTGAATCAATGAAACTCGGGTACCGTAACGCTCGTTCTGCTTGTTTCGTCACAGGGCTCTACTGACAGAAGCATGTCTTTTCGTGGAATTTCGCATTTGCGTAACATAGAACGCAACTAAACGGCGGTCCGAGAAATTAATAACAATACACTCGGCGAACGAAGTGACTAAACAATGAAACGGAGAAAAGGCGACACATACAACACAACATAAGGCAGCAACACTTACGCTAAGATGCATCCGTAAATAGGACCGTTTTCAACCGGTTCGTATGTGTCGGACAGTACGCTCGATAGGGAATTAGAAGGTAGGGCTTTACTCGAAAAGCCCATTATGCATTGATACAAGAAGACGAGGCCCTCCTTTTGGTGCGGCCGGAGGCGGCTGGTGAATCGTGGATCAAGAGCGACGTCCATAATAGGCAATCCATCTGGGTTTTGAGTCCACTGGATAAGAAGAATACATCACAAACGCTAACGAAGACTAGACATAGATCAAATAAAGAAACATGTCAGCATTTGGGAAGCCAGACGTGCCATACAATGTTTAGAGTATTGCCCGTTAAATCGATTAGAGGAAAACCCACCTCGTTTCCGGTTTATTTAGAGGAAAATCAAGTTATCCAGAACCTTGCACCCACATTAAGGCGATGATGAACAAGTGGCCGTTTACAAGGGACGGAACAATGATTACTATGAACAAAATTATTCCTGTCCATTCATTCGTCGGACTTGAGACCAAGGATAAGTCTTGTGAAATAGACATCATTATTCCGTTTTCCACATAAAGAAACCTGTCCGTACAGTCTATTTTAAAAAAAAACTGGGTCCCAGTTGTCAAACACCTAGTGACGCAGTCCACTAAGCTGTTTGCGCAAAAAGTGAGCGGAAAAAGACCCATAAAACCCAAACAAGGAATGATTACTGTCAGATGCATATTATTACACCTAGCAACCACCTAGAATGGGATCGAATCGATACTTAATTCGTTAGCATGATTATATGCTACATGATTATATGTACAGAAACTCACCACACAATCAGCTGGAGGTCGTGGCATCAGCAGTGCGCCAGGGTGGTGAACAGTAGTGTTCTCTGTAAGCTAAATAGTAAAAATGAAAATAACACGATGAATGCCCTAAAAGTAAACATAAAGATTGCTCCAAGGATTTCAGTACAACATGCAACTGTCCATCATACCAAGAAAGTAAGTCAACGAGGAACGCGGTGGAATAAAACAACAGTCCATCCGAAGCGGACGGCGCAGTAGACAGATAGTTGGGTAGGTTCAAACAAATCAGCGTGATGTGACATGAGAATCTAAACACAGATCACGGATTACGCGCGCACATTCATTTGAACGTTGCAGAGTTCACATGAGCGAGCATGTGTTCTTTGCGTAATACTAAATTTTCGGTACGTATGCTGTGTGTATCATGCTATTTCACGTATGAAAGCAGTAGCATTTTGTTGTAAATTCGACCAAAAGCTACAGCAATCGGATATTGTTATGATGTACGTTGCAAGCCCATAAGACTTCCGAATGATAAGGTTGATGGAAGAGGATGAAAGGGAAAGAATATGACGAGCGAAAATGTCCTGCACATACAGCATTTGCGTACTGTGGATCGTAGTCTGACCAAACTTTGCACGTCTACAGTAAGCCTCAAAAACAAGCTATTTGGACTTTTCACCGAGTAGGAGGCTACCCTTCTAAAGGGAAAACGCTGGCACGCAATTGTGACATTGTACAGATTTGGTCGTCCCACTGAACTGGACTGATAAATTCATGTGAGGTTCAGGTTACTGAGGACCTGATAATGACATTATATGAATGCCTTCAAATGCCTTCTACCGGCTTAGCCCTTCCTGAGGACTGATGGAGAGTAAACCCCCAAATACCCATCAACCATAATTCCTAATTGAACACCAATTTGAACGGAACTGGAGTAATCAGTGGCAAATCCACTCGGTGTTAACGGGAGATGCAACTGGAAAATTCGGTTGATATTCACTTGCGGATCCCTTTTATGTCAGGCTACGCTGAAAATGCATGTATGATCATTTATTTTCGGCAATATCTTCTAGGGTTTCTGATCTTGAGCGTGTTATTCGACCTCTAGCATGTCGAAACGTACTGCCTTAGCGTTTATTCTCTGCTTGTCGATTACTCAATTAGGCCAGCTAGCAGTAATAAGGACCAAAATTTCAGTATATATCACGCGTGGCAAACATCTACATGCCCAATGGATCTAATCATTGAACGCGTTTTGCTCCGACGATCTCTTGTAACGCTGCATACGTGTAATATCCAGAGGTCAGTCATTTGGTGAACACCAGTATCGCACACACATAAAAGTTATCATAGTCGTTCTGCTGTAACACCCTTTTGGTGCCTAGCTGCTATTCCATCCGGAGTACCCAGTCTGAAATGCCGCGGGTTCGCCAAGGCCTAGATAAGAGCAATTGAAATGTCGAAGTTGGGTTCGAACCACAGACCTTCATGTCAGTTACTTTGCGCCAGAAGCAGTGAGCGATCCCGAACCTACAAACACTACAACATCAGATGCTGTGTCGGTATCTTTCCAGCACGACCTTGGAAATCAAACGGAGCCCAACAAGGTTTAACTTGGTAATGGCAATTTTCAAAGAAAGACACGGGTGACAGTTCATTAGGACAATAGAGGAGACAGAACCACTCGCACCCTCACCTTAAGGACGAAAAATCAGCGAGTTGTTATCGCAACACCAAAGTTCTCCAGTTGGAAGACCAGGAAGATTGGTCAAACTGGCTTGGTGTCATATTCACAGTCCAGTGTGATACCTATGGTTGAATTCAGCAGTCACTCAGAGAAAGGTGAAATAAACCGACAAAGGCTTAAGGTGCATAAACACACTGAGGTGGACTGATACAAACTAAGGAAGAACCCACATGAAAGCAGTTACCAAGCCAATGGGTTGGTTCAAGTCCTGTGATCTGAGAACAAAACACTAAGAAGGGGCTGCAAAGCGCACCGATAAGCCGTAAAACTGAAGGGAAGAGTTAAGGGTGGGAGTTCCGAATCAAATGTTGCATAAATATAACGGACTACTCGATTTTCGTTTGTCCCCAGATAGGCGTTATCTCTTCAATAATCGAACATTCACTGTGTAAAATATACGCTCTATGGTTGATTCGCATAAAGCGACAAACCGAACCGGAAGGTTCCATGCCCTCAGTGGGCGCTGAATTAGTTGCTTAACGGATAATGTACGTAGAGTAGCTGCCGCACTGGATTCTGTCGGAAAATATACTTACAGAACTCATGTCCGATCTACACAGGAGTGTCCGGGAAGGCAAGGTTGGGGCATCAAAATCATGTTTATTCGGATCTGGAAAGTGCAAAGCTAAGCAAATGTGAGTCGACAAGTGTACTTTCTACAGCAATCCCTACCGCCCCAGGGATGGGTGCAGACGAAGAGGTATCTGAAAATGAAGTGATACGTGAGAAACCAACTCACCCTCGCATGTAACAACTCCCCGTTTGTCAACGGACTTTCCCGTTCTCTCAGAATAGATCCCTGGAGGAATGAAATTAAGCAACTCGGCTTCATAAGACCCTATTTTGATCAGGGAACCTTCCTCTAAGGCATTCAGATAAATCCACTTGTGACCAGACGTAGAGGCGATCCTGTGAAGACGATTTGTTTCACTCTGAATGTATGAAAAACTCACGTTTTACCGCGATCATTAGTTAGCGTGATCGTTCTGCCGCTTATAATTGCAAAACCTGCGGAAGTAGGTGGCATTGAAATAAAGGCTCCTCACTGGCGTACCGTCGTATTCCCATTTTTTGTGCTTTGGTAAGTTCGAAGTATGGTAGATGAATAACTTACCTTTTTTGTGGAAGCTTTTGCATAAACAACCTCAACATAAGTCGGCGTAGGGTTAGAATAAACGGGCGTGTTTTCGGAGTGGGTCTGGGTCACAGTTCTAGCGACAGAAGCGCTGTCGCCTTCATGACTAGGAAGTACATCGGTCCGGCCTTGTTTTGTCGCGGGTTGTAATCCAAGAACGCGACTAGGATCATTAGTTAGCGTGATCGTTCTGCCGCTTATAATTGCAAAACCTGCGGAAGTAGGTGGCATTGAAATAAAGGCTCCTCACTGGCGTACCGTCGTATTCCCATTTTTTGTGCTTTGGTAAGTTCGAAGTATGGTAGATGAATAACTTACCTTTTTTGTGGAAGCTTTTGCATAAACAACCTCAACATAAGTCGGCGTAGGGTTAGAATAAACGGGCGTGTTTTCGGAGTGGGTCTGGGTCACAGTTCTAGCGACAGAAGCGCTGTCGCCTTCATGACTAGGAAGTACATCGGTCCGGCCTTGTTTTGTCGCGGGTTGTAATCCAAGAACGCGTCTAGGAGCAGCAGAACGCCTCATCGCTTCAGTAGGATAGAAGCACCTCCGGAAACAGAGCACTACAACGGAGAGGGGGGATTACTACCTAAGATAAGTTAGCCTCCATGCTTCTTCCGCCGCGCAGCGAAATATAGTCACCATCACTTCCTTCTATTTTCTGACCGGTCCTTCAACCTGCCGTCTATTCCTAACTACGTAAGTATACAGTCATCCTGCCTGTGAGGCCCTCTCAAAGAGAACTTCCTCACAGACATCGGTCATTTAATTTCCTTATTCACTCTACCGAGGCAAACTGAAATCCTCTATAAAGACCATGTCCGGTTAAAAACCAGTCAGTCATATAGGATTGCCGCCCTCAGTGTATAACTTATCACTATCACGTTTCAATGACTTCGGTTCACTTTAAGAATGGCTGTTTCGTGCGTATTTTCACTTTTCATTAGGTCCAGGACATTTATCACGCATATTCCGTATTTCCGGAGTGGCATCCGTATCATCTTGTAGCTCGTATTAAACTTCCAACGAACGTTTACTTGGGGATAAGAATATTACCTTTCGATTTTTGATTTTTTCACCTATGAGCAGCTCACTGAATGAAATTAACACTTTATGCTGGCTTATGTGCACTGCATTGTTTTCAGGTGTTTGTTTCTGTTACAATCTGTATTTGCCAAGATTCAATGGTTTTATTGTGCGATCTCCCGTGACTTACACGGTTTCTGTATACACGCGCTGTGAATGTTACCGACGAGCCGGTGATACCTGAAGCACCATTCAGCAACTATGTATAACCATACAGTCGTAAATGAGGTATTCGTCGTGCAGGTCCAATTTATGAAACGAACCGAATCGTTAGTTCGTCACATACAAATTGCACCTACCCGATAAGTACATCATTTTTGACGGAGAGCAACTGGAACAAACACTTAAAAACGCTGTTGCAGTGCATATAAACCAAATTAAGGTTCCATTTGTTAAAAGCCTATGCAGCCCTTCATGAATTCCTCATAGGTCATGAGAACGAATATTCGAAAAGTTGCGGTAATAGTGATATTCGGGAGAAGCAAAGAGTTCCAAAGGGAGGATGTTCTTCGAAAAAATTGGGGAGCAGTTCCAATTAGAACTGCCTTACGGCGCCTTAAGACGCCTTAAGGCGTGTAGCAGTTACTCGGCTGAATGATTGACACGAAGGAAAGGAGGAGGCAAAGATGAACATTCTGCAAGGTGTTAACTGTATACAGTTATTGAATGAAGCAAGAGCCGTCACGTCTCTACGGCAGAGTACCAGTGTTCTCAACATGTGTTGCTATCAATGATGGCAATGATGAATATGATCGTGACGATCACAATGATGATAATGATTAGAGAGTGCTATCTGTCAGTGAATAGATTCAAGAAAAGTTATAAGGAAAGATCTCACGTCAACCTAAGTCGTGACAGGAGCAGTCGCAAAAGGCAATTTACAACTGGAGCAACGACCTTGGGGAACGACAAATACGTCGCACCCACAAAGTGCAAATAGCCAATAGGATACAAGCGCGTGGCTTTCACGGATTCGCGGATTGATACACAGGATCGGGGCTTTTGCCCAAGTTTCCCGGGTCGGTTTTGTGCTTGTCGGTCAGTGGCTGTCGTTCACATGATTATGTGAATGAGTGTATGCTCTGAGCTTGAAAATTTTCTTACTATGTCCCGGCCGGGCGTTTGCTTGCTG